TTCTGAATATAATTGATTATCTATAGTAAAGAAATTTTCTTTTATTTTGTTAATTTTATTAATCTTTATTAAGTACTTATAATCTTTATTTTAATTAGAAGTACTATATATAAAATACTTTCCTAGAGTTTTAAAGGGATAAGATTTCCAATTGAATAAAACTTCAGGAATTGTAGAACTCTTTTTAATAGGCTTAATAAGAGCGGATTTTTCTTAGCTTAGTATTCTACCAGATTATAAAGAATTTGAAGGTAATCTTTTTAAGTATCAGGATATCTACTTTAATATTATTAAGCTCTTTAAATAGTTAGTATATATTCTCATATCTATATTAATTAAATAAGAAATATATTTTTGAAAATTGGGGTAGCTATTTATAATAGTAATAGTTGTATTCTTTAATAATAGAAATATCTTTGTAATTAGTTTTTTATAGAGGTTTTCCTCTAATTAATTTGATTTTATAATTAACTCTAGAAATTGAATATAAAATTAATAGAATATATTATTATCCATTCTCAAAACTCGAAACTTCTTAATAACTAATTCTAACCAGTTAAAGACTAAATATATACCTTTAAAATAATTTAAAGATTCTATAAACGTTTTGAAGTCTTTATACATTATTTTAAACTTAAAATATCTCTAAGCTTCCCCTATAATTCATTAAAAGATAATTTTTACTTTAACGTTTTTGTTTAGATAATAATTAATATTATTAAGGAGTTTTCTTTTAACAAGTAATCTCCATATTTCGAATATAGAATTAATTCTATTATTTAGAGATTTTAAATTTTTTATTCTAATACTTAATCTCATTCTAAAAATAAAAAAAGCTATAAAACTATTATATATCTTAATTAAAAAAAAAATTCCTATAGGATTTTTGGAGGCATTTCTATACTATAAATAGGATTCCAATAAGTTTAATATTATAGCCCATCCAACTATTTTTAAATAATAATAGCTTCTACTACACATTCCTTATTTCAATAATTATTTCGAAAATAGCTTTTGAAGCTTAACCATTATTATTATATTGGCACTAAAAAGATTCAAAAGGTTCTATCTTAATAAATCTGAAAGAGGAGAATTGGGTTGATTGGATTCTATCTCTTCGTTTTCTTTATATAATATATTTCCTATATCAGCTTCCTATTCTTGTTGAAGCTGTTGTTCTGAATTATGGCTTTTATTATATTATTAATATATTAGTATTCGATAAAGAGACATCATTAGCTGATAACAATTGAATAATATTATTTAAATAGATTATTAGTTTAATAACCCTAAAGAAATATAACTAGCTAGATATTATAGCTTTCTCAAAAAATATTCTATCCTTTTTAAAAGTATTAAAAGTTTGTTATAATATAATAACAATAGAGTTAAATTATAGTGATAGAATGAATCAATTATTATAACTAAAGAATAACAAATTACTATACAAAAAGTAAACCTGAAGAGGGCTTTTATAGATCCTATCGAATAAGGCCTAGATAGAACCAAGATAGGATCAAGATTAGGCAAAGTGATTTGCCCTGCCTAGTGGGGTAAATGGGTGACTAATCAAGGCTTAAGGCCGAATCGTTACACTCTAACTCTTTGATTTCTGAATTATTTCTAGATTTTCTTATTAAAAGTATTATTAAAAACAAGGATTTACAAAAACCTATTTTATTATTATAATATACAATAAATATACCTCAGAATAATATATAATTAAAATAAAAGATAATTAATTATATAAATAAATAAAAAAGAGAAAAAATAATAAAAGTATAAACACTATATACTAGAATAAGTATTAAATAGTTTAAAAATATTGTTTTAATAAAAAATATAGGATTAGAATATAAAAACAAAAAGAGTGTTTTATAAATTATTAATATTAAATTTATTATCAATATTATTTTAACTAAAATCATTTATTTTTATTTTAATATATATGCTTTAAAAAATAATCTCAAAACCCCCCCTAAACAGATTTTAATTGATATATTTTATTCTTTGAATTTTGCTTCAATTTATTTTTTATATATAATATTTCTATTAGAATTGATTATACATAGATTAATTAATATATAAAGGAATTTATATTACTATTCAATAATTGTTTATTCGAAAATCTATATATTTGATTTCGAAGTAAGATTATTTTATTATTTATTAAAAATAATTACTAAATAGATTCTATAAGTAATTTTAAATATAAATATTTTATTAAAAATGTTAAAGAAATTCAATTTAAGGGTTTATTATTAATTATAATAAAATACAAAATACTTATAGACAATATATTTCAAAATATTAATATATTATATAATCTATTGAAAACTAAGAATATTTTTAAGAGAAAAGAGGATATATACTCAATATTTCTTTTTATAAAATAGAATATTATAGATTATACTATATAAAAAATCGATAAAAATACTTGTATATATTAATAATCAAATAATCCTAGGATTTCAATTAAATTCAAGCTAGATAGTCTTAAAAGAATAATATCGAAATTTGAGTTTTTCTTCAAATCTTTAATTAAAAAAAAGTTTATTAATAATCTCAAAATCAAGTTTAAATCAATAAATAAATAATCAAAAAAAAAAATTAAAACTAAATTAGTATAAAAGATTATACTTAAAAATAATAATATACAAGTGATTAATTATTTTTTTAAATATATATATAAAAAAACTTAAAACAATAATCAAATATTAAATCCTATATTAATATTTATATCAATATTATTAATAAATTATATATTTTAAATTATATATTAAATAATAAACTAATTAAATCAAAAAATATTTTTAATATTATAATTCCATTTATTAATATTAAACCCTCCTCTTTTAATAAATTAAAACTTTTTTAATCTTTATTTTAAAATGATTTAATAGAGACTATTGATATATCATTAATTCTATATATATTATAATATACTAGATTTCAGAATAATCTCTTCAAAGAAAATGGATTTTATAAAAAATTGATTAATAAAAAAACTAATAAGGAATAATAATAATGAATAAAATGAAATTTGGTATATTTGTTTTTTAGAGTTATAAAGTTATTTTATTATTATTTTTTTTGTTTTTTTTTTGTATAATAAATACTTTATTTGAATATATAATATTTGAAATATATAATTATGAGGTAATAGAAGGGTTTTGAGTTGTAATATATATTAATTGAATTCTTTGTTTTTATTGGTTGTGTTATGTTATATTATATTTAAGAAAAAGAAAAAGAAAATAAATTATTTCTTATATTTGATATAGGAAATGGATAGATTTATTAGTATCAAATTTGTTTGAATTATTAATATTATTATAAAATATATAAAAATCGAGATATTAATAATAAGCTTTTTTTTCAAATTTAATTTTATTATTTTGGATTGACTTTAATTACTTATCTTTTATAACTATTAATAGATTGATATAATGTAAAATGAGTTGTATGTCTTTTAGATTATATTTTAATTATTACTTTAGATATTTTTAATTGAATTATAAATTTATTGGGATCTATATTTTGTATAGTGTATATTCTATATTCATTCTGTTTTTTATAATTGGTATAAATGTTTTTAAATTATTCTTTTAGTTTTATATATATTACAAAAATATTATTCTCTTTTTTGTATTTTTGATAGGGTTGATGTTTTATTATATTATTAAAAGGAGTAAGATATTAGATTATATAAAAGATTATTATTATATTATTGAATTTATATTGAGATTGAATAATTAGAGTTTTAATAATATAGATATTATATAAAGATTTATCTAGAGTATTATTGTATTAAAACTTTGTTTTATATAGAATCTTTTTTTTGAGAAAAGTGAGGTAATTTATATATATAAAATAATATTTTAATTATTAAAAGATTAGTAAATATTAATTGGAGGATATATAAAGGATTGTATAAGATAAGCAGAATAGTTTATAATTCGATTTTTATTGATTGGGAGAGGTTCAAATTGAATTAAATTTAATAAATTCTTTGAAATATGAGAGGAATGTAGAGGGGAGTTAATTTGAGGAGTAACTGAAATAGAGTTGTAAGAGTTATTATAATTAATTATAATAAAAGTAGATATTATTTTAGTATTGCTTGTATAATTAAGTATTTATGTTTTTGAATAAATTTAAATAATTTGAATTGAAATGTTTGTAAATTTAATTGTTTATTTATATTTTGTGTATTTATTTATTTTAAGATTATATGTATTAAAATGATTATATAAGTTTAATGAATATAGAAAAAGAAAAAACTATTTTTATAATATAAGTTGATGTATAATAATATTATTATTATTGTTATTTTATTTAAAAAATGAAAATATATTATAAATGGTTTTTATGGTGATATGTGATGAGATTGTATTTTATATAATACAAATTATTTTTCTAAGATTTGTATGGGTATATTATACAAATTTTAGATTTTTTTTTTATATTAGGCAGAATTCTATTTTTGGTGTATTGGCAAAATGGTCCATATCGGCCTTGGTACAAATACTCGGACATATCAAAGCAAAATCTAGTGTTATGATCACAATTCACGAATTTGCAAGTTCATCAACAGAGAGAATTGAACCCAATACGTTTATTGGTAATTCTAAACAAACCCCGAGACTATCAAAATTCTAGATTCATTACTCTCCAAGGTCCTACTCCAATAACCTAATCTCAAAGTCTCTGCCTGTAACATACGACAGAAATATCTCTTCCCGCAACTCAATTTAAATTTTGTGTCCCATATCCCAGTACCAGATCATCTCTTCGTCTTTCCAAACACATACATGGACTTTGGTCCTTTTGTAAGAAGGGATTTCTTCTGATACATGTTAATGATTGAATTGCGTGATTGAACAAGCTTGACTTACCTTAGGCTTTTTGTCCACGTAAAGTTGGCCCTGATCCTTCACCGTCAGCTTATCACGAGGCTTGGAATAGCGGCGATGTAAGCCATGCTCTACCCTGAAACTTTAATGAAGATAAAGGGTTCGCAGGTATTTCGTGTCTGTGAATTCTTTGAGCCCAAAGAAATATCCCGTAAGAAGTCGGTCTGGACGGTCGGCTGAGGTAACGGACAGATTGCGTACTTTCACCATGGGCCTGATAATCTCTCCTCCCTTTGTAAAATCATAAAGTTTAGAGGTAAAAGAGGGGACTTGACCAAGTAGTACGAATGCCGCCTCCATACCTCGAATTTCAAGAACATCTCGCCGTAAGTCAAAATACACTGGCTGACCACGGATTGGATCAGTGAAGATGATAGTGTAGAAGCGTAATGCATACGCTCTAGACTCGTGGCTGATGTGAAATGCCACAGGAACAGTGACGCCTTTGCATCTGGCTACTTGAATAGAGAAATATTCATAAAAATTCAAAGGCATATATCCTGATACTGCTCTTCTGGCAAGGTTCTCCCAATTTCCAAGGCTGGAGTTATAAATTTTAATCACACGCGGGGCTAATTTGCAGAGCTTGTAGATCATGTGTCGAACGTTCTCTGGAAGAGTCTCAAGGAGGTTTTTACCAGGAGCGAGTCGATACCTACGTCTCTTGTTGCAGATCAGGATACTAGCTTTGGTTGCTGGTGCATAGAAGCCAGCGTCGGGAGATTTGGGATTTCTGCGAGTCATAGTGAGAGTACTATTCAAGTTAAGGCTATTATAAGGGAAGAATAGTCCAGATAAACTTACGATCTGTTATGTCTTATGGCACTTGAAAATGTTGTGAATGTAACATAAACAGGATGCGCATAGCCGAGACAAAATATTTGGTTTAAGAACACAGCTTAAACACTCAAATACCTCGATAAATTGTGTTTCCCTTGAAGATTGCACTCCTTTGAAATGACAAATCCAGTCTGGCTGCCTGTGCTATAAGAATTCTTGGGCAAGAGAGAATGCTTTTGATGAATCGATACTAAGTATTTGTGCATGTGCTGTTTTCGCGAGGAAATCGAAAAGATTATGATAGGGGAATGATGGCCACCAAGTTCTGAATAAGAAGCCATACAGAAGAAGAAGAGGTGTGATATACCTGCTGGTATATGAACGAGCAATTCACTTCTCCCCGATAATGAATGTTAAAGGGGCTCGCTTCTGCTAGACCGTCTTATAGCGAAAAGTCTTCCCGAACGCGGAAGCCAGAGAGCATATTACCAGCATAGAAGATCTAGAGTGCAGAAGGCGATCATTTATAGAAAGTGAAATGACGTGTTTGCTAAAATATTACCGCGTTTCTCTATCAAACCTTCCTAAGAACAGATACGATCAAAGATCGGTGGATGGAAAGTATAATGGGTCATATGAACAGCCGTTCTCTGACATTATGACGGTTTGTGTAAGGATCAAAATAGAGATACTTGGGCTGTCTTTTGAGACTCCGTAGAGAGATTACATCAAGCTTGTAACCGTTAGCATATGTAGGTATAGAGATATATTATGATTTAAGGCGTTTTCCACGACTCTATAAGTGACCAATGATTAGTGGCCATGGGTGAAGTCGAAAGCTGGGTGAAGCAGCTGTAAAGGTTATATAGACTTATGATCATGGTCTATAATTCACATGCCACATGATTGCGTATGGAAATATAAAGAAACATCAATGTGGAAGTTAGAAGTGATGAATGAGGTTAGGCTAGTACAAGATCCAATGCGGCCGCATCTTGAAAGGCGGTGAAGCTGATGGCAGAATATTTTGTTGGCGGGGCAGTTTCAACACTCAATTTTATACTACTTCTACATGACTCACCTGCCACCTTCACTGTAGTATATATTGAGTCTTCTAGTTATAAGTCATTTCATAAACTCATATATCATCATGTCAAAAGTCTATCTTCTTGACTACGTTGCTGGAAACGTGCGTAGCTTGGTCAATGCCATCGAGAAGGTGGGCTACACTATTGAATGGATAAGGTCTCCAGAAGATGTGCCAAAGGCAGATGTAGGTTATTTCGGTTTTTAAGCTATGCTTGCGAATTTAAATGTATTCTTTCTTTCATATCATCTACTCTTTCTAATAACTTACATTTTAGAAACTCATTCTTCCTGGAGTTGGCCATTTCGGTCACTGCATGACACAATTCTCCAAAGCCGGATACCTTCCAGCGATACAAAAACACATTGATTCAGGGAAACCTTTCATGGGTATCTGTGTTGGATTACAGGCATTATTTGAGGGGTCTGCGGAAAATCCAGCAGTTCCTGGGCTTGGGTATGTCAAGGCGACTCTCGATCGATTTGACGATAGCTCGAAATCAGTACCACACATCGGATGGAACAGCGCGAATACATCGGGTAAAGAAGTTTTCGGATTGAGACCAAGCTCGAAGTATTATTACGTTCATTCATACAAGGTTCCATATAAGCAAGGGGAATTGGAAAGCCAAGGTTGGACTGTCGCAACCGCACGCTATGGGGAGGAAGAGTTTGTTGGAGCGATTGCAAAAGGAAACATATTGGCGACACAATTTCACCCAGAAAAGAGTGGAGTTGCTGGACTGAGGGTAATCAAAGCTTTCTTAGACGGAGACAACAGTAGTAGCGCAGTTGAAGGCTTGGTCGCTGCCAAAGAGGGCTTGACTAGAAGAGTTATCGCATGTTTGGATGTGCGAACAAATGATCAAGGAGATTTGGTAGTGACAAAGGGTGATCAATACGATGTGCGAGAAAAAACTGATGGTGGAAATGTACGAAATCTAGGAAAGCCAGTTGAAATGGCCAAAAAATACTACGAACAAGGAGCCGACGAAGTTACATTTCTCAACATCACAAGTTTCAGAGATTGCCCGGTAGCAGATGTACCAATGCTCGAAATATTACGACAGACATCAAAAAGTGTTTTTGTTCCATTAACAATTGGAGGAGGTATTCGAGACACTATTGATACCGATGGTACAAAGATTTCAGCATTGCAAATCGCAACAATGTATTTCCAGAGTGGAGCAGACAAAGTATCCATTGGATCTGACGCTGTGACGGCAGCAGAGGAATATTATTCAAGAGGAAAGAAATTGTCTGGAACCACAGCCATAGAGCAAATATCTGGTGCTTATGGCAACCAAGCAGTGGTTGTGAGTGTGGATCCAAAGAGAGTTTACGTATCGAAACCTGAAGAAACGAAACATAACACTATACGAACAAGATACCCAGGACCAAATGGTGAAGAATATTGCTGGTATGCATGCACAATTAAAGGAGGCCGAGAGACACGAGATATGGATGTCGTTGAGCTGGTGACTGCTGTTGAGGCAATGGGAACAGGCGAGATTCTTTTGAACTGTATAGACAAAGACGGAACAAATAGCGGTTTTGATTTGGAACTCATTGACCAAGTAAAGAGTGCAGTGAGCATACCAGTCATTGCTTCCAGTGGAGCTGGAAACCCTGGTCACTTTGAAGAAGTTTTCTCGAAGACATCCACAGATGCTGCTCTTGGAGCTGGTATGTTCCATAGAGGAGAATATACGGTTAAGCAAGTCAAAGATTCTCTTGCCGAGAAGGGGTTGATGGTTAGACAATTCGAGAGCGATCTTTAAGTGATACAATCAAAATAAAGAATATTCCCAGTGTTTGCTCCAGCAACTTGAGCCGCACTTTTCTTATAAAATAGAAAGAAAGGAAAATAGTGATTGATAACACCAGCTCACCATTCCAAATTGAATGGAGCATCCAAGTGATCGAATCATGAAACTTTAAATATAATACTATGGAGTGGGGAACGATATCCGCTCAGATTTTAGTACTTGGGAAGAAACCCGTCGTGTATTTGGTATTTGGCTGCTTCAAAGCCAAAGTTGGAATGATCGATATTAGTGTACGTGAGTGAGCAAACCCACTTTTGACTAGTATCATTGTTCTCATTTCTTTGACTTAAACGAAGTTGTTCTTACCTTTTGCATCCGTCACATTTATCGTGGAATCCTGATGATCGAAAACATTCATCTCCCTCCAGAGTCCAAACATTCTCCTTCGCTTCCCCCTCCATAGATACTCTTTCTTTGACAACAAAAGCCACGGACCCCATCAGCCCAACAACTGATTGTCTCCTCTTTACCCTATGATATATGATATCCTACTTGGCCACACGAACTCCTCTTGTTGATTACGATACCACTTGAAGGAGGAGTGCGTAGGATTTGTTCGATGAGTAGTGTCGTGTGAAAAGCTTGTTATGGGGGAGGTGGTGGAATAATGGTAGGAAGTGGATTGTTGTAAGTACTGGCACTCAATGAGGTTTTTATTCGGAAATTCTGGGGGTGGTGCCGCAGGGGAAGAAGGAAGAGGGGGAGGAGGAATAGCTTGTCAGGCCTCTTAGGGGCTAGAAAAATAAGGTGACGTTGCTGATACTAGAGGATATTAGAATATTGACGTCGAGAATTATAAATCTTGGGATTTAGAAGGAAAATTACGCAAGATATTGTGACTAGTGACATGCAGGCTGTTGAGGAGCTGTGGGCTAGAGAATGAAGTTTTATATGTTACGGGCGATACTATCAGCGGGCATTTTGATTCAATTCATTGCTAGAGTCCTTCTGTTGGGGAATCTAATGTGGAATATTCTCCTATTCATTAGTCTTAACAGTCTCTCTGGCTATGTCCAAGATGTGTCAGGTAGGTAAGGAAGGGGGAGAGATTTAGGATGTGCCGATGGTGGAGAAAGAGTTAACTGATAGAGAATGAGGATTAGAAAGCATCTCCTGGAAAGATAAATATGGTACGGCGGTCTATTTAAATCTTTCAAGCATTGCAAAGCCGTTTTTCCTCCGTGGGCGATGGAAACTCTCGGGACTCGTGAGGCTAGACTGTGAAAGAGACAATAGCATGGCTATTTTATGAGGACTTCGGGGAATTCACCAAGAACATGATCAAATTCTAGGCACGATGAAGATTACCGAACGTGATATCTTTGATTATCCGAAGTAAAATAAAAAAAAGAACTAGAATCCTTTCATATATTTATGATCCTCTGTTGTTTCCAAAACCTCAAATTTCATTCCCACAGTAATGGACCCATCCGATCTAGGTACACCCAGCATTCCAAAACATGGCTTCCATTTGATACCTTCATCTACACGTCTATAGCTCACCAATGTATCCCATGGTTCGTGTTTATTCTTTTCCGCAGTGTCTGGATTGACATTTGGAACCTGGCATCTTGCACAACGAGCCTGGATATCAATATCCAACCCATTTGAACCCATTGCGGTGGATAAAAGTCCTGAGTTGGGCTTGTTCACTATTTTCACTCGCTTCCAATTATCTTCTGTCCATGCAGCGGGTGCGGTATCATCGGTATTTCTCTCGTCTTTACCCCTCACAATGATGTTCGGACGGAATCTTTCAATTGTGATCTCATCCGCTCCTTTCTTCGACAATCTTTGATTTAATTCTTGAAGGGAAGCTTCATTTGCAATCAAAACCGGCATCACATCTGGGAAATTGGTGCTCTCCTCTCTTCCCAATATTTCTGGTGCTCCGTTACCCCGCAGGATTCTGGGCGTTGGTCCCTTATATACCAACTTAACATCTTTCTCAAAGAAATCGTTGAATATGCTGTTTATCTCATCCTTGTATACGTATCCATCTGTCTTGTAATCCCAAATGTCCACCTGTGTCAAGCTTGTGTTATCTTT